TTAATAGAGAAAGCGTATTCACATATAAATAAATGATACAGGCACGAAAAGAAAAGTCACAGATGTATTTTACTGTCTTTTACCGATTATAAATATTATATTTAATAACAAAATTTTTGTTTGTAATGACAAATTTTAAGTGGCTCTGCTTCGAAACCCTCGAGTGCAAAAGGTTAATAGTCAGTAGTGTCGATAGCAATTAGTATTTAATTTTGTTTGTGATAATATCGGTGAAAGTGTTATTTAGAATATTTGTGATAATGTTGATGTATTTATTGGGGATATTTCTGTTTGATATTTATGGTAGTATTAATAATAATGATTTATAATGGTTGTAGTAAAATTTATTATTAATTCTTCGATATTAAGTTAAATTAAATTGGAAATTACATATTTCAGTATAAACGAAAGTGAACTTCGTTTTGATTTTTTACAATTTCACGTCAGTTCAACATCGTTGAAACGATCACAATTGTTTTATGACGATTGTCATTGCGAGGCAGTTAGGTGCAATAAGTTGGCACACCCTCCAGTTGCAAGCAAGTCAGTTTCACATTCGGCGAATCGACGAATAGCTCCTTAACGATTCCATTAACTGTCGCCATGGAGTACCGTCTGCTCCTTGTTCCGCCCAGTTCCGGCATTTCGATGTCCATTCCGATTGCTTTAGTGTAAATGGCTGCCGGATCCGCCAGCATTCTCACCTAAGTTCAGAACTAGTAGTTACTAAACAGCGAATACTAGAAAACAACGCTAGATTTACGGCAGGAGTCGATTCGACTCGTATTGAATTTTATAAGCATCATTTACAGTTATGCAAATATTTATCCTAATTGTCCACTCTTAACCCTTAGCACTCCAGGCTGTTTTCTAATATATCAGCAACTGCAATTGATTTTTATGGTATATAAAATTTTTATTGTATATAAATTATATCATTTTTATAGTATATAAAATATATCATTTTTATAATAATTTTTATAGAAAATGAGAAATGCTATAACATTTCTTCGATCTTTTATTTTCCTTCTTCGTAGAAAATTTGCATTTGCGGAGAATCTAATAATTTTAGGGTAGTTTCTTTAAGATTCATTAAAATGTTTAATATTACAACCGCTGCAATATTGGAGCCTAGAGTTCAAGGGGTTACAAATTTCGAAGATCTAAATGAACGGATAATAATCTCTAAGAATAACAGAACAAACTATAGTAAACGTCAGTAAATCTAGTATCAAACAAAATGACACATTTAACCCTTTGCGGGCGAAGATTCTTTGAAATGTAGAAAACCTTAAACAGATGAAGCTAAATTATACATTGATTGCTTAAATAATAGCGAAAACAGAAACTACATGCTAATCTCTTGCTGTCCGAGTAATTAAGTCATTCGCCTGCGACTCAGTCTTCCAAATATGAACGTTTCATCTCGAAATGTCGACATTCGTCCGCAAAGGGTTAAAATTACAGTGGCGTTTTTATTTCACAGTAATTGACCACCTTTCGCTATAAACATTGAAATTTTTTGAAAACTCGTAAGATACGTTTCGAATAAACGAATGAAACGAGTAATAGCTTCATCTGTTATGTAAGAAAACGCATGACGAGTATACTCGTCGGACAAGGTCGAAGGGTCAATGCATCCAGTGTAACGTTAGTCTTGAATGCAACGTTTATGTAATGCTCGATACTCGCAGTATCTGTGGCATACTTTCTCAAGGTCCGCCGAGATAATTACACTCATTCGAGCCGTGCATCGTTACCTTGTCCTCCGCGCCCTTTATATTCCCCCAGGCAGACATGACGTAAGGATCGTTCACAGACACGCAGATTATCTCCTGGAAGCCCAGATATCGCAGATCGGCAGACCTAAACGTTAATTGGTACAAGATGTAACCCGTAATTGTCGCCGCGATCTTCAGACATAGTATTCCGACGAAAAGTATCTGACAAAATTCAATTTAACTCTTGATTTACTACAAATTTCTATTTTGTTCTATGAAAATGGTGTTCTCCCTCTAAAATTTGTAACTCTTTTTTTTCGAATTTCTTTCGTAACTAATTTTTATAGTATTCCTAGCAAAAATTAGAAATGCTATAACATTTCTTCAATCTTTTATTTTCCTTATTAGTAGAAAATTTAGATGTGTGGAAAATCGAATAATTTTAGGGTAAAATATTTTAGGTAAGTCCATATGAAATTGGAGATACCATTGTTTATTAAATTCAGTCTAATTGTGAATGAAATATAAATTTAGTGAACAATAGTAGTAATAAACATTTTACATATATTTTATATTATAACTTATCTAATTCAATATATTATATTACAATTCGCAACTGAATTAATATTCTATATTACAACTCATCATTAATCACATTTCACATTTAGTAACTTCGTTAACACTAGAACTACCGTTCCAGTCAAAATGACTGGTTTCGATTTTGTTGTTTAGCAATTATTGATATCTTCGAAGCATTGAATATTCGAAATGATTTTGAAAATAAGTAGTTTCATTTGAGTACTATAATGAAAGTTTGAAGAAACTGAAAATAATCTATTGGTACAATTTTTATAGGAATTGCATATTAATCGTATTAAATGCTCGGTAGTTCTAGTGTTAAAAATATCTTTTCGCCGAACTATCAATGCCACGTCGAAAATCATGGCAGCTTGTGTTACACCCTGTATACAAGACAAACCTCTCGATGAATCCTTTCAAATGAACCCTGGAGCATCCTTGCACGAACGCCCCAGGCACACCGAAGATAATGGCCCGTTTGTTCGCCACCAGATCCGAAATGTCGGTCTGATTTTCCGGTAGTGCTTCGTACAAGGTCACGCTCGGCACTTTGTCCCCTTTCCTGATTCCAGGCATCCTCCGCGGGGCTTCCCGGAAGGAGGTTTCTTCGGGAAATCAGCCACGCGAAGAGGCTGAACCGCTCGGCTCTTCTGTTCGACGCTTTCGTTTGTTTCCATGGCAAGCTTCATGCTTCCAAAGGATCATACGCATGGAATTTATAAATATGAAACGAAGTTTACTACGTAACACATTGCGTACCGGCTAATTTTAAAACTGAATTGTGATGGCAATTTTCGCTGAGGTCAACTTATATCACTGTACATAGAAATACTTAGATATATTGTTATGTAATATATTTTAAATAGATAATCGATTCGAATGAAATTTTATATTTTTTCAATGCTGTGGTAATTAGCGAAGTTGCATAGCTAAGTGTCTTTATAGAAAAACGAGATTTCTCGAGTATTCGTTATTTTCTGATGAAATATCGATGATAGTTTTACAATTAACGCGAAGAAATGTCTTGCATAAATTAACCCTTTGCTTTATAACGTGTCAGACTAGTGATGAAAATTTCAAATTCGAGAAATCTAAGCGTTGCTTATTCATTTCTAACATTAATTATTACTTGCCTATTATTAATCTTTAACCTTTAGAGTAAATGTAACATTCGTTTCATTTTCTACTAAATTACTAATGATATAGTTATATCAAGCACAGTTGAGAAGTAAATCGTAAGGCAAGGGGTTAACGGACAGAGTTATTGTATTTCGATGTTCCAGGTGATGATGCTTAATTATATAAAATTTAATCCAATTTTATCATTTTCTTGGGTGAAGTAAAATGGCGACTGGAAAGAGCCTCTCGAGCGCCAAGGGTTAAATTGAACGTACAATTTAAGAATTCCATTTCATTTAACCGTTTGCACTCGAGTATACTTGTCTGAATAGATATTCAGTGTTTTCTGATGAAGTGTCAACGATACTTCGAGGAAATAATAGTCGTTGGGTTAGGATTAAATGAAAACACGTGGAAGTGATTTTATTTTCTTCGCTGCGAGGTACAAAATGTCGAGAAGATGTTAATTCTTTGACGATTACGTGGGATCGGCTTTATTCAGATTGTTGCCGATGTTTTTCACGTTCGAAAACATGCTAAGTTTAGCGGCTGGCGTGTTCTCGCCGCGGAAATCGGAGATCGATCAACGGATTCCTGGCAACAGCACGATTTCGGCCGTGTTGTTAGCCAAAGAGACCAATTTTGTAAAATGAGACGCGGAGGATATCGGTAAAACTGTCGGGAGTGAGTCATCTTGGTCCGCCATTTTGGATTGGTCGGGAACTCTTTATTTTATTTTTTGTGTATTCATTTATACATTTACTTCGTTGTATATTTATTCATTTGTTTATTTACATTAAAATGGTCACATCCTTTGCTCTATGCCTCGGTAGAAAAAGCAAACCAGCAGAGAACTAATTATGATATTGCGGATTCCTTTTATCACCATGAAACTTTTGCTTGAGACATTTTTTCCTATGTCAGGGCTGTAATTTAAACTGATAGAGTAATTCGTAGTGTCTCGACATTCTTGTCGAGGATGTCGTAATGGTTTCAGTGTATCTTGAAATCGATCAGCAATTATCGTGTCGTATTATAAGTCCTTGCGTGTTTCGTACCAGCAACAGATACTATTACAATTAATAAAAACTGGTATCCATTGCTATAAAATTGAATAATATTTCTACTTGTAATATATAAAGAACAATAGTCAATCACAATATTACATTAAATTACAACAAACTTCAATTGAGAAACTATAACATACACTTTAAACAAAAAATTCCAAACAAGATAGTAATACTGCAACATCCTTGAATGTTTCCACAAATTATTTATCATATTCAACAATCGTTTGCCAAAAGTGCTTGAAATTCACGGTTCAATTATTATATAGAAGAAAGTAAAAAAACAGCTCCAAAAAATACAAACAAGACAGTAGTATTCTGAAATTTCTCTGAAATTTTCTATTTATTATATTACACGCGTTCGTTTTACCAGAAATATGGAAAATCCACTGGCCAACTATTATGAAAACAAAATGTCGTAAATCCCCTTTAAAAACAAAGAGTGGGTTCGAGAGAACCGTTGCCCATCGGCCACGCACCAATCGGATTAATGACACGTGCGTTCATTTTTCAGGTTTCGTGGCATGCACGTTGACAAATCCAATTTGGTTCGTGAAAACCAGGCTACAGCTGGACCACCGGACGGATACAATCACCGCGATGGAGTGCGTGCAAAGGATATATCGCCAATCGGTACGGACCGCATGCGTTCACCAAACCCTCATCAGGATTAGGCGAAGAGCACCGATCGTCGTCATCTCATACCCATTCATTGCTTAACCGGTTAACTGTGGAATTTAGTTGGAAAAACCTCAGTAAAATCGAAAAATGGAGCGTGTACTCGTCGAACGCAGGACGAATGCACGCAGAGTATACTTCAACCCTTTGCGGACGAACGCCGACACATTGGCGAAATGAGATGTTCATATTTGGAATACTAAGTTGCAAACGAATGATTTAATTACTCGAATAGCAAGAGATCAGCGTACAGTTTCCTTTATTTTTATTGTTTAAGCATTCGATGTATAATTTATCTTCATATGTTGCCAGCTTTGTGTACTTTAACCCTTTGCACTCCAGAGGCGCCTCTAGTCACCAAATGATTCGACACAGTAAAACTCTAAACTCTGATATTTAATATTAAACTTTGTATAATGCATCGATGTACGAAATATTGAAAGAAAATAGTTTTCTTCCTCAATGCACGTGTGATTTCTTAATTCTATCTAAGAGAAATGTTATCTGTATCCCATTAGAAAATATTGAATATTTCCGGTGAAAAACTTCTGGAGTGCAAAGGGTTAAAGAGTCTTCGTCCGCAAAGGGTTAATGAAAGATCAAAGCGAAACAAAGAATTACATGTTTATGTGCAAGAATAAAGAATTCATCGCTGAAAGAATTAGTATCATGTCAAGCTTTACGATGACGTGTATACTCGTCAAACACAGTTAACTGGTTAACACTAGAACTACCTGATGGATTAAACCGATCCATTCACCTTTCCTTATAGAATTTATACCTTTACTTAGATTAACATGGTCAGAGTAATGATCCCCGACCGTAATACCCTTATGGCTTTCCTTTTATAATTATTGAAAGGTACTAATTATTAAGAGGCTTCTTTCAGAAATGATTGGAAACATTGGTTTAATAATAGACTGAAATATGAGTTTTACTGTTTGGCAGTTCTATTGTTAATTGTTGTAGGGATTAGCTAGTTTCATCATGGATTCTCATACCTGAAACCTTGGGTTGTAAATTCGGTTTTATTGTGTTTACAATTGGGGAATCCCGGTTGGGTAAACTCACAGAGAATTTTCCTAGATGGTCATTTGAGTTTTGCTCGTTGGAGAAGCTAGTCGACGTGTCGTTTGAGAATATAATTTTGACAATTTAGAATCGAATTTGGACTTCGAAGTGAAATTAAAGATAAATGTAATATAATTTAAATAATTGTGTAAAAGAATGCAGACTTAGTTCAAGATCTAACGAGATATCACATTTTCATCGCAGTAAGTTTAATGTGAATTATTTTGTCAAATTGTTTTGATGAAAATGGTGTATATTAAATATTTCTGTATAACTATACTGTGTGTGATCTATTGTCGAAAAGAAATTGTTGGATTTATTGCCAGAGAAAACTCGCTTGCACCAAGCCTTGTTTCAAGTGACTTGACAGTGACTTAGTCTATAGGAGGCTTCATCATTCCTTTCTCTAATTGTAAAGTCAAATTTCTGATTTTATAATTCAACTTACAAAGGCTTATTTGAAATTTTAACTTACAACTTGTTTCATTCAATAATTCTTACAAAAATCAAAGTCAGATAAAAATGGAATCCTTCGATTAAGTGTTTAAAATCTACATAAAATCCGCAGTCTAATTACTAAAGTTAATGGTTCAGAGGGAAGTGAGTTTATGAATCAATTGTAGGTCACATTTTTAAATGTATATACTCGTAGGTCATGTATATGAGTGTGTGTACGTGTAATCGCGTGTTCCTCGTTCCGGGGGAGATATCAGACGAGTTTGACAACCCCGAAGGCTCATGGCGTATCGACGCGTTTCCCGTCTGGTGCACAGTCTGTGGTCGGCCACGGAAACCCTCGACGAGCCACGCTGTGATCGATCACGCTCAACTAGACATAAAGTAGCATTCCATTCTTCTCTGATCGATACACTGAGATAAACAAGAATGCAGAGAATTTTTCCACGGTCGCACTTTGCTGAAGTGTCGCCAGAAAAGTGGCTTCTATTGATTAACCCTTTAGCTACCGCGGAGCTAAAGCTACACACATGTATGCAGAAATAGCTCTGTTGTGAAAAATAGTAATACATTAATATTAAATAACAACTGAGTTACAATATTTATATCTTCAAGTGAAAATGTAGGAAAATAAGTATATACTATGATATAATACTTACTGAATGTAAACAAAAAGTTGCAGTTCTTATTAGATTTTTAAATCTGACTTTCAGACTTGTTTTTTTTAAGTTACAATGTAAAATGACAGAATTATTTGTTAGTTTAAAAAGTTTCAAGTAGCTGAAGGGTTGACAATACAAGGAGTTTCATTTTTGCGAGTCTAACATTTCTAAAAGTATGTGTTCTGTTGCACTAATTGTAAATGTCTATTCCGGGATCACCTTGATCCCTTGCATTCCGGGTGATGGATCGGATGGTGCATGTCCTATGCAACCAAGAATATTGTATAGAAGTGTTTCTCAAGGGGCAAAAATATCCTCGCGAGAGAACAGTGTAGAGGAATGGTCTGAGACTTCAGTCGGTGGAAAAGTCAACAAGAGTGTCGCAACTAGGCGATATACAGCTAGGAAATTCTGGTCCCGGCCAAGGATATTTTTGCAACTCTGTACGCTCAGGAGCTGAGACGAGGAAAACAATTGAATATGTGAATAATGCAACGTGATAGCTGCTAAGGCGTTGGTCTTCCAACTTGGATAATTATTAGACTGCGTTTGTTTACATAGATCTGTGTTGCCAGTGGTCTCGTGTCGAGAAAATAAGATGAAATAGAATATTCATTTGACGTAAATACGCAGCAGATATTTTAGTAGCGACTAGACTGCGGATTTGATGGACAGTTGTATTTTTATACACAAAGTTTCAATGGCAGGAGTTGTATATGAATTTCATTTGGCTACCAAATATTTCAACTTAATCATAGAGTTAAAATAATATTCTTCCTTAAGGTTATAGTTAGAAATTGGGTTTTTTTCTTTAATATCCACTGATAGATTCTTACAATTATTCCATCACTGTGTCAGAAATAACAAGTATTATCTAAGACCCTCCATTGTCTATAAAATTTTGAGATAGTTGAAGCTTCTCAAGCCACATTGTACAATTTACACGTTTCATATCTGTGATCTTTTCTTATCAGCGTTGAGATAATTAGAGTATTTATCTCGACTCTCATTGTATAATCTCGGCTGTGATCTTCTCTTATTAGTATAGAACAGTGAGATAAGTATCTCAAATCTCTTTATACAATTCCCACACTCCACTGTTCTAATCCTCCCTTATAAATTTTAAATCTCAATATAACTAAATTTCCCCAACTCTCATAGAATATTTTACAGCTGTAATCTTATCTTATCGATCTCCAACTTTAATATAATTATATCTTCCGTATTTCACAACAGTGTTCTCCACTTTCCACTGTACAATATCAAAATAATAGTGTCTAATCGTACAGTTCCTTCTAATCTGGACCAGCACATGCGTTTACATCGCAATTGCGACCACGCCAGGATCTATAATCGGCCGGACCAGGTCCACGAATAGTAAAATGCGCCGAAAATATCAGCAACGATGCACTAGTCGCGAAAACAACATGTCAATCTCTGTCGCAACCTACACAGGATCCTCCTCCGCTCTCGTTGTTGTTCCACCGGCGCCTCCGTTCCAACGAAACACGTTGTGTGCCCCCTTTTTATAGACTAGGAAGTGGTTCGCTCGTTGAAAATTGCGCAAACGCGGGCAAAGGTCGGGGAATGTTTCATAACAATTATATGTAACCGCAGAGGAACGAATTCATCGTTAGCTACCAAGCAGTGCACTATTAATTAACTCATCTCTACATTAATTAGCGCCTCTCGTCTTAACCGTCTAATTGCCTTGCAGCTTGTGCAATAGTCTGTGTCTAGTAGCTGATAAAAAATAACTTTCGAAGCTGTATTTTATTGTTGCAATGGAAACTTTTGTGATCTATAGGCAATGGATTTTTATGGATAAAAGTATGCAGACACGCGCAAAAATGATGTATCTGTATGCGAATCTATATGAATCACAGTGGAAAGTCCTCTGTGCTTCGTTGAGCATACGTTGTTTAACTGCAGAATGATAACAGAATATGTGCAGTTATTAATTCTCATAAATTTCCATTATCGCTGCGGTCGCGATTGCGAATCAGGAGTCAGAGATAAGGCGGCTTAGAGATATGTAATACAAATAAAAGCTGAATGAGAACCTCCCTGGGAGATCGGCTCCGATAATTGCTCGGTTCGTTTGAAAATGTTACTGTGTTATCGATGATCGTTCAAATATCACTATATTCGATTTATCTCCAGGGGGTCTGTGCGTATGTTTGGTGTGCTTTGAGATTATAGCTCTTGTCGAGCTTAGATATTCTATCTCTTTGATATCAGAACTTTTGGTGATGCGCATGGAACAGATGGGCAAAGATAATTGTATAAAAATTATCCCCATTTAACAGGGTGGTTATTTTTCCGAATGTTATCCGGTACAAAGATTAGCGTTTTAAGTCCCTTGTATGATTAAATAGTACAGAGAATATGTGGTACACTTTGTGAGTGGAGAGACTGACTGTTTGATGTTCTTTCAGGGTATCCTGGGATTTTATAAGGGAATCGTGGCGTCCTATGTAGGAATAAGTGAGACTGTGATACACTTTGTGATCTATGAGGCTGTGAAGGTTTGGCTAGCTACGCACAGATCCAGAGTCTCCAGGACAGACGACAGTAAATCATTCATGGACTTCATTGAATTCATGGCGGCAGGATCTTGCTCCAAGACCATTGCATCTACCATTGCTTACCCCCATGGTAAGGTCACTTACAGGATTGTATCATGGGCACTAGTATAGCCCAGACTAAACAATTGTCTAGCAACCCTTTTTGTTTTTTAGTTAATCGTGTCTTTGTAGGCTCAGATCATTTGCAATCTGGTCGCGTACACCTTTGAAAAATCCTCTGAATAAATTGTTTCCTGAGAAGAAAACAGTTTAAGAGTAGATATATGAGATTAATCTAGACTCTTACGTTAAGCCTTGAAACAATGATGTCTAACGGATCATAATCTTTCAGAGGTAGCAAGGACACGGCTAAGGGAAGAGGGTACAAAGTATAGAACCTTCTGGCAGACTCTGAAGACAGTCGTCGCAGAAGAAGGGCCAAACGGGTTGTACCGTGGATTGGGTACTCATCTGATCAGGCAGATACCGAACACGGCCATTATAATGGCAACGTACGAGGCGGTGGTGTACCTTCTCAGCAGGCACTTTCATCAGCGCACCAGGGCCATCAGCACCACCAGCGGGTCACAGTTCTATACGGAGGCAAAGGGAAAACGAGAACTCGCCTAGGACTTGCTTACGGCCCCTGAATAAAGGGCCGATGGCTCGTAACGAGTCCAATGTAGCTGTGTCCAGTTTATGAATGCAGACGTGTCCAGGTGCGGGGGAGAGAGACGTCACGTCGGAATCGCGTTGTCCGTGTCATCGGTTGGTGCCATATTTGTTACGTTTGAAGGTAGCGAAAGGTATCACAGCGGCATTGAACGCTGTGCGCTGTGTAAGTGTAGCAAAACGTAGTCCTTCCTCCTTTCAGGTAGCATACATTCGTACGTGGAACAGAGCCTGTCTGTTGTACCTCACCGAGAGAGAGAAAGAGAAAGAGAGAGAGAGAGCGAGAGAGAGAGAAAGAGAAAGAGAAAGAGAAAGAGAGAGAAAAAGAGACACGGAACACGAAGGTGGGAACCGAAGCTGGATTAATTGAGTCGGTTACTTCGAAGTGCGCCGCGCCTCACAATGATCATTGAACAGAGCCTGTATTACTATTTGTGGGATTGCAGCTGTAATACACTCGAAAAGGCCGCTTTAGGTACCTTCTCAACATTCTGGGGTTCTGAAAACTAGGAACATATCGAAATTTTCATTGCTTAATTCCATCTGGCCAACCGGTTGCCGATATAACCTCAAATAGCCTTTTCTAAATTATTCTGTACACCCGTGATCGGTCGAACTTGATGATTCCTGTGTTTTAGAGCCACCAAAATAAGAATCTTCATCAAATGCAGGGTTGTGATCTTGTTAGAGCAGTCTGCGTGAACGCCAAAAATTTATAAAAATACATAAGGAGCAGGCTGTCTGCATAAGGATTGTGTTTCTACATTGTTAATAACTTATTATCTTTCTCTGCCTAGCGATCCTTCATGAATTCGTCATCGAATTGTAGTCATCGACTTCTTGTTCCTTGAAAGGGAGAGCTAACAAAATTTCTTTGTATCATTACAATATATTGCTCTTTGATGATCGCAAAATGATTGTTCAGTTTGCTTATATTCAACATTAGTATAGAGATGTATTATTACTATTATTGATATGTCATGACCTAGATATGTTTCTTTTCTTTTGCAATTTATTATCGTGTATCAACGAAAACCTAATTAAGCAGAACTCCTGAGACAAATCTGTACATATGAATTACAAGTTTAACGAAGAAAAATTAAGTTTTTCTTTCTTTGTTGTCACCTCGGATAAACTCGGAATAGAAAAGCAAACAAAAATTATATATGAAACAATGACAATGTTTTTATTGTTTATAGATCAGCTTTCAGGAGTTCTTTAAAGGGTTAAAACCTACAGGGTTGTGAACCTAAAACAATGAATTTTGTAAAACTTAGCAATAAGTGTTGTGTACATAAAATAAAATTGCGATATATCTGTCTGTAGATTTTCAGCCGTTCGTATTTTTTCGAGTGCGTAGAATGCGCGTTATTTACACCGTCGGAGAAGATTAAGAGAAAAACGAAGTTTCTATAACAAAGAGGAAGTATTAGTAGCCATCCCATTGTTTCCTTTATTGTATTTGACAATTTATCGTTGTTTAAACGTGACTCGTTGAAGAAGAGATGAAATATTAAGATGTAAGTTACATGTAAGAAGATTAATAATGTTTTGTTACTGAGATTCTATCTGTAGCGTTTGTAAGTTCGGTTGCGTTGCCCGTTACAAATTTACCGGTTGAGAAGTGTTAACAGTTATGTAATATAACAGGTTTTTAATTTTTATACTTGTCTCGATGTTATCCGCGTACAGGATTATATTTATTCGCGCTCCTTGGCTCGTACTACTTGTAACAAATTCGACGACTCAGGTTTCTTGATACAACTAGTCTATGAAATGCTGTCTAATGAAAGTCCTAACCACTGTATTGCGTAGTATCATTGAGACAGATAATCCTTGCACCAAGGAATTGGCCCACGATAAATTAAAGTACATTTTGAATGATCTGTGATTTTAATTTTTATTTACCGTCGGCTAAACCTGGCATATCGAGAGACATTATTTTCT